TATGCAAAACCACAAGGGCGGCTACTTGACCCTACCGCGACCATTCGCTCTCTGTGGTATCATGGATCACCATCTCCATGATCTGATCAACAGTTCGTCGTGAACGATCTGCAGTAGGGTTGAAGACGTAGTGATGAAGCTGGCATTCTTCAATCTATGCAGATACATCCTCAATAGTAGGGAACACCAGAGGTCAATTAAATGCCAACAATTTCACCAGAAAGCTGAGAACCTCAGTCCCACGAAGTGCTTGCTAGTCATCAGACCGAGAGTTAAACGCCGAGCCTATTCGGAAAACCGACTATGATGAGACTCTCATCGTGTCATATTGTATGCCATCATCATAATCTGATCCAATCACGTCATGGTATCAGATGGCGAGTGACTCGCCGCGAGTCAGTACCTGAAAGTGCATCCTATTTCCACGGCGCGCGCATGCTCATCAGCCTGTCTCTTGGCAGTCGTACGCATGCGTCAGCCTATTGAATGCCACCACAGACTCAAGTCAATGACTCTTAACCCAGAGATTAACGAAAGTCCAGAGCATATGTGTGGACCTGTGAAGAGGAAGCAATGATGAGAGAATACTCTGTTCGGGTCTGTATAAGAACACACTGAATAGCTGAGTGGAAATGCTGAGATCACTCTGGCACACACGGAGTGAGTCGGTTCAGGTCAGGTACGGATTATTTTTCATTTCACCCAGCTGTATGCCCGAGTATAACAAATTTCTTCACTGGGGCAAATATGCCACGCCAAGATATGCCAAAGTGGGGCCACTATGCCACACCAAGATCTGCTTGAGTATGATATAAATTTCTTGTCTGGGGCTCATATACCACGCAAAAATATGCCCAAGTGGGGCCACTATGCCACACCAAGCTCTGCTTGAGCACGATGAATTTCTGGTGTGGGGCTCATATACCACGCCAAAATATGCCTAAGCGGGATAACTATGCCACGCCCGAATATGCCAGTGGGGCAAGTATGACACGCCAAGATATGCTCAAGTAAAATGAATTTCTTCACTGGGGCAAATATGCCATGCCAAGATATGCCTGAGTATAAACACACAATTTCTTCAGTGGGGCAGACATGCCAAACCAAGATCTGCTCGAGTACAATGAACTGGTGTGGGTCAAATATACCACGTCAAAATATGCCAAAGCGGGGTAACTATGCCACGTCAACATAGGCCAGAGTGGGGCAACTATTATGCGTTAAGATATGCTTAAGTACAATATATTTCATTTTTTCACTGGGGCAAATATGCCACGCCAAGATGTGTCCGAGTATGAAAAAATCTTCAGTGAGACACCTATGCCAGTGTTGTAGGAGTCGATGATGAGGGCTCCTGATTTTCCCTGACTGTCTATTCGTAGACAAGCAGTTGTGCGCCACGCATTGTGCGTCGCCTTGTTCCAGCCAGGAACATGAGCATGCGTGCATGGCCTTCGTTGTAGTCAAGTGAACTAGACTATTGGTCTTATCATTTCATTTCTCTAGTCTAGACTTATCCGTATTCAAGATAGTTCGAGTTTGATCCATCGGCTACCCTTGCGTTCCCTATATGGCCGGCAACGGATCCGATTCCTCCAATACAGGACAATATATATCGGAGAACAATAAATTTCGTAAGTGGGATAAATATGCCACGCCGAGATATACCTGAGTGGGGCAAATATGCCAAGCCGAGATATGCTCGAGTACAGTGAACTTCTTCAGTAGGGCTGATATGCCCGCCAAAACATGCCTGGGTGTACGAAATTATTCAGTGAAACAAATTTCCTCAGTGGGGTTACCCACTTATCTTGGCGTGCCATAGGTAGCCCACTGGGGTAACCATGCCACGCCACGATATGCTCGAGTACAATAAAATTATTCGATGGGGCAGATATACCACCCCGATACATCACTGAAAACAACAAATTTCGCCAGTGGGGCAGCTATGCCATCCCAAGAAATGCCGCAGTACACGCAATCTCCCGAGAGCGCGACCTATGGCATCCACCTTGGTCGGAAAAACAATCGGAACACAATCCGGCTTGGACGAATTGCGGAAGATAAATGCGCATAGTAAAGTCGACTCAGTTCGAGAGTAGACATGCCATTTCCGAGCTTAACTGCGACATGCTATCTTGTCAGCAGAGACTCTGACGAGTATTTCCTTGGTAATTTCCAGTGGAGAGTGGACACTGAACATAGACCTCTGACCCCGCACAGTACTCACAAGATGACGCTCCGACTGAGAGAAGATTGATCTTACTAACTGTGAAGCAGACATATGAAAGGTGTATTCCAATCTTGCTGTTGTTGATATTGTTGTGAGTCTCCGTGTGGGAGTGAACCGCATCCCATTGTCGAGTGAATCGAGCGGTGCTCTCTCCGGCGCACCGAAAGATGAGCAATACTCAGACTCAATACGAAACAGCGTGATAATTTCAGCATTTTCCTGCCTGTCTGATTCGGGATTTGTGGACATGCACCATCCAGCATTCTCCAGAGGGGAGCGGCACGCATGGCAAAATTGTCAAATTCAATACTATTGAGAGCACTGAATCAATTCGAGTGGTCGCGCATTAGCGTAACTCTAATATGCGATCAACCCCAAAACCCCTCGGCGCGTCTCTACGGGCCCTCAAATACTGGTGAGATGCAAAATCAAGCAGTTTACGTCGGAAATTGTCGTGGTTCGTCAAAACTCAATACATCGAGTCCCTCCGGTCATTCGTCGCGCGCGTTGAATACGAACGGCGCACCAATCACTTGCGCACGCGTGCAAAACGCTCATTGCACAGGCCTACATTCCAGAATGTAGGGCCACGGTATGTGCTGCACTAACATTGCCAGACTCTATACTCGTAGCATAATATATGGCCTTTAACTAGGAGAATCTTATCTGAGGATAGTCACATTAGGCGTACTGCTGAATCAGCGTTGCTGATCCAGCAACGTTGTGACTATTAACACGATCGTTAGAAAGTCATTACGTCGTCATGCGATTTCCTGCGGAGCGTCACTTCACTCGGGTTATATCTATCTGTGATATCATCATCTCAGGCCCCTTTGGAATGTGTAACCATGATTACTCCTCTTCTATACCTGCCTCTTGTAGTGGTAGCACTCGACGCATGCGTTTGGTAGCCTACATCACATTGGTCTCTATCCACTATCAACAGCTACTCTTTTACTCTTCTATCGTAACTCTAATCACTGGCTATCACTACTATGTCGCAGCTCTGCCCCTTTACGACATATCACTTGCTCTATCTGTGCTTTCGGGAATAACGCTACTTTGGTTATGTAATTGCTATTACAACAGCAAGCCCAATGTATTCTGCATCGATCATGCTGAGTTTGACGCTCCCCCCTCTTGGAAGGTCAGCCATGAAGACATCATCAACATTGCCAAGATACAAGGTTGCTACACGGAAGATTCACTCAACTTCATGCAGCGTCTTCTCGAAAGGTCTGGTACTTGCCCTGGTAAGAGTGCTGCTTACCCTCCAGTGGTTGTTGAGTCATTGAGGACTAACGCCCCCGCTGATGCCTCTGCTGTCAATACTAGAGAGGAAGCGAGGGAAGTGATCATAACTACGGTCAAAGATCTGCTTAAGAAGACTGGTGTGCATCCTAAATCTATTGACTATATCATCGTCAATTGCGCCATGTACAACCCGACACCGTCACATGCTGCTATGATAGTGAATGAAGTCGGTATGAGGAATGACGTCATCACCTATAACCTCAGTGGTATGGGGTGTAGTGCCGGTGTTATCACAATTGATCTAGCAACGCGTCTGTTGAGAGAGACCAGAGGTAGGGCACTGATTGTGTCAACTGAGATACTAACTCGTTGCTTCTATCGTGGTAATGATCGTGAACCACTGATGGGTAACACATTATTCAGATGTGGTGGTGCTGCTGCTTTGCTATCGTCATTGCCTAAAGACTTATCTCGTGGTAAATATAAGTTGTTACATACCGTAAGAACGCAAGTTCTCGGTAATGAGAGTTTTGAAACGATTATGGAGACTGATGACAGCACCAAGCCCAACAGCATTGTTACACTCAGGCTCCAGAAGAGTATTATCAAAGTTGCTGCTGTTGCTATTAAACAAAATTTTACTAAGCTTGCTTATGTGGTTCTGCCTCTGAGAGAACTGTTGAAGGTCGTATATTCGATGGTGATGATGAAGATGAGGAGGAAGTCGTCAAAAGAAGGTCGTGAGTTGTACGTACCTGATTTTAGAAAGGGCATTGATCATTGGTGTATTCATGCTGGTGGCCGTGGTGTATTGGATACCTTACAAGATTCTCTCCAGCTATCAGACTATGATATCCAAGCAAGCCGTAGTGTTCTTTATGAGAGAGGCAACACCAGTAGCAGTAGCATATGGTATGAGTTGGCATGGCTCGAACGTGACCAACGTATTAAGCGTGGAGATAGGGTATTACAGGTGGCTTTTGGTAGTGGTTTCAAATGTAACTCATCAGTATGGTTGGCTATGCATAATATTGATGCGTAACGACAATCAGTTTTTCTCACTATGAGTTGGCTCCACCGTAATCAATGGCCATCATCTCCTTTTCTAGTCATTATCGATGATTATAGTCAGTGTCGATGTTTGTTAGTGTTTTACTCGATATCAATTTGTGAGTCTCAGGCCCCTTTTCCCATGACTACTTCAACCACTACTGTGCAACTACAAGAAGACCTGTCAAGTGGTGACCAGAACGCCCACCCCAGTCCAAGCCGAACTACTCCTAGTGTTGGTGATACTAAGGAGGATGCGAGGGTTGTTATCAAACTATTTGGTACATGGGTTGATGTTACAGCTTGGTTGAATGACCATCCTGGTGGTTCTAAAGTGCTCAGAGCATTCAACAAGAAGGACGCGACTGATGCTGTTATGGCCATGCACACTGATGAAGCTATCAAGCGCATCATCAGGTTTTCAAATGGGGTCTCCTCGGCCCCCATCAACGCCTCTATTGGTGATGTCCAGACTATTGAGAAGTCTCTATCGAGAGAACAGTTGATGTATTACAAGCTACGCACTCATGCTAGGAACCAGGGTTGGTTTCAAAGCAATCTATTCTACGAAGGAGTGAAAGCAATGATAGCCTTCGGTTTGCTCATCATCGGGTTTGCTACTCTCTACTTCGACTATGGTATTTGGTCAACCGCACTGATAGGTTTCGCTTGGTTTCAGCTGGGGTGGTTGGGACATGACTGGTCTCATCATACAGCTCTACCAAAGTCTACTACTAACTGTGCGAACTACAATGACTATCTTGGCTGGCTTACTGGTTTGGCTAGAGGGAATACACTTCTGTGGTGGAAACTAAGGCATAATACTCATCACGTGCTGACCAATCAGTACGAGAATGATCCTGATATACTAACTCAACCACCGTTGCATTTTTTCGAGGACTTCGATGTTGGTAATGTGAACAGATATCAAGCTGTCTACTATCTACCAATGCTAACTCTACTGCATCTATTTTGGTTGTACGAGTCGGTATTGGTTTGCTTGAGACAAAGTAAGTCTATTAATAGATACAACCGTATGCATGCCCGGAGGGATACCGTAGCTTTGGTACTTCACATACTCATTGTTGGCATCATATCGTACACCAGTGGTAAGTATTTGCTCATCCTTCTGGCCTACATGCTTAGTGGCTTTCTAACTGCTGTTGTTGTATTTGCCAGCCACTACAACGAGCCTAGGGTAGCTTCTGGTGAATCCTTATCACTCGTTCGTCAGACATTGTTAACCACTATCAATATAGGCTCATTCAGTGATACTCATTGGGAGAAGAAGTTGTGGTTCTATCTAACTGGTGGTCTTAATATGCAAATCGAGCATCATCTCTTCCCAACAATGCCCCGCCATAATCTTCCGAAGACAACTTTTCTGGTCAAGTCACTAGCCCAGGAGCTAGGACTGCCATACAAGGAAACCAACATTGTCAGTTTAACCAAGGCGGCCGTTACTACTTTGCATCATAATGCTCTGCGTAACATCGAGAGATTGCTTGCTAGGTAGTTCTCATCATTGCAACCGCAACAAGAACATGGTCAACTCATAGTGGTGGTAGAGGATTGTCGTCATGGTCAGTAGCTTTCTGATAGAATCTTTTTCATCTTCTTCCTGTTGTGTTGAATGTCTTCTCTTACCCTCTACAGAGGCCCCTTTTCCCGAATGGTGCTCCCTCGTCAGGAAATCTGCATCGATGGTCGCATATACGATGTCACCGAGTTCATCAATCGTCATCCAGGTGGTAAGATTATCCTCTTCCAAGTTGGTGCTGATGCCACTGATGCTTTTCGTGAGTTTCATGCTGGCAGTGAGAAGGCAGAGAAGATCCTCAAAACCCTACCATCCCGTGATGATGACGGTACTTTCCTTCCTTCAACCCAACGCTCCATCATGGATGATTTCAAACGCCTAAGAGATGACCTCGTCAGCAGAGGTGTGTTCAAGCCGAGCGTCATGCATGTTGTATACCGCTGCTTGGAAGTCGTTGCTCTCTATCTCATTGGCTTCTATCTGGCTCTGTGCACCAGTAATGTGTACGTTGGTTGTGCTGTACTTGGTGTAGCTCAAGGTCGTGCTGGTTGGTTGATGCATGAAGGAGGTCATCACTCTCTGACTGGTAACTGGAAAGTTGACCAGTTCCTCCAAGAACTATTTTTCGGCATTGGTTGTGGTATGTCAGCTGCGTGGTGGCGCAATGCACACAACAAGCATCATGCTGCTCCTCAGCATTTAGGGAAAGATGTTGATCTCGAGACATTGCCCCTGGTGGCCTTCAATAAGGCCGTACTTCGAGGCCGTCTACCATCGGTCTGGATCAGATCCCAAGCTGTGTGCTTTGCCCCGATATCAACACTACTGGTATCGTTCTTTTGGCAATTCTACCTACACCCGAGGCATATCATCAGGACAGGTCGACGAATGGAGTCTTTCTGGCTACTCGTACGCTACTTAGTTATTGTGTATCTCGGGTTCAGCTATGGATTGGTATCGATATTGTTATGTTACATCGCAAGTGTGCATGTTGGTGGTATGTACATCTTCGTACACTTCGCTCTATCACATACACATTTGCCTGTCATTAACCAGAATGGTAGAGCTAACTGGTTGGAATACGCATCTAAACACACAGTTAATGTGTCAACTAACAATTATTTCGTCACATGGCTCATGAGTTATTTGAATTATCAAATAGAGCACCATCTCTTCCCGTCATGTCCTCAGTTTAGATTCCCTGGTTACGTCAGTATGAGGGTTCGAGAATTTTTCCATAAGCATGGATTGAAGTATAACGAGGTCGGTTATCTACATGCACTCAATCTCACATTTTCAAATCTGGCTGCTGTTGCCATAGTGGAATAGCTCAATAGTGTAGGAGAGCATAGTAGACGCTTATGATTGGTATGTAAGATCAATAATGTTTGGTTGAGAGTGATCAATGTTTTCTACCAGCGGAGCACTAATAATCTGCAGCATATACTATAACATATTGAAAACCCTGCAATTCTTATAGTCCTCATTCCTAGTGAGGACTACTTCGTCCTAGTAATTATCGCCCAACACCGGAGGAGGTTAGTTCGATGACAAGGTTGAGTATGTCTGCCGCAAATACCGTGTCTGCACTGAAACTATCGTCCCTATCGTTAGAACTCATTCCCCGCACTATGGTGCATAATATGCGCGTTTCAACACCCTCTCTTTCTCGCCGTCAACGACCCCCTCTTCCGCACACCGTCTTTAGCAGATTAAATCTACCCGTCAATTATCGTGATACCGCCCTTAAGTTACCCAACTAATACAACTCAATTACAATAAGTACACTGCGAATGCATCATTAACCATCAACAATATGCTCATTAAATAATAATCTATCATCTTCGGACATCTCCTGGGTGCTCTCCTCTTCACTACCGGGGCCTGTCTCAATCGATGACCCTTCTATGGGCAACTCTGATGACAACCAAGATGTTAAAACGTGAAGCTGTGAATCCAAGCACTCACTCGGATCGAGAGGCTCAGTTCCCCTGGACCGAACTGGGCTGTTCAACATTCCACCAGACCGGCTATCTCTCATCCATAGCAGAATGCCCACCCCTATAGAAGCTGTACCAATGAAAAAGAAGAACTTCTCTACGGCTACGTAGGAGCCAGTGGATGAACCTGTCACCGAGACCAATGGGGACAGGAACAGCGGAGCAGTATATAGGCGTGGACCTCCCATATTAATGCGTACCATCATATGAGAGTTTTGCTATGCAAGGCTTACACACGGATTCGAATATAAGTGTAGAAAAACCAATGAAATTTTTCCGATTTTGCTCAGAATTTTCATATTGTCAGCAACAGATGAAGTTGACCATGTGCATTATCTTCCATACAGGGTACAGATTCTACGGTTGCACTATACGATAACATTGGGGTGTGATACGACAACACTGAGCAATTGATAGGATGGACCCCCTGAGTCCGGGGCCCTGAGCAAAGTGCTTAGATCTAGAGCACAGTATTGAAGTTGAATTTACACTGAGGATTGCATCACTATCAAGTTGCCACCATACACCTCGATCAGCCTTTGTCCACTTACGTATATGAGCCACTATAACAGGCGTAATCGCCAAGCCGAAGTTTTGTGCAGCCGTTGTAACACCATAGGCCGCGCCTAACAGACAAACCGGAGTCACAGCCATCGATGCAGCGATGAGTCCCTGGTTCTATCCCCGGCAACATCATTTTAATGTCGAAAACTCAAGTTCTACGATGATTGCCAATCACACATAATGCAGCTTGTTAAGAGATCAAGCCAGAAATTCTCCACAGCAACCTACCAGTCTTCCTAGGAGGTACTGCAGCTGCTACCAACGGCCATACTGCAGAGGCGAACACCGTATAGGATAGCCCCAAAACGGTCATAGATATCACCTACACAACAACTAAACTTAGAACGAATAAAGCCTCGTACCGGGTGCAATATAGGCAGGATGATATGTGCCAATGTCGCCATAGTAAAACTAGCCAGGAGAAAATAGAGGCGGTAACCCAATTTGTCTATGCATATACCAGCAATGGGAGAGCCCAATGCTGACACCCCAAAAAGTATCTGATCGAATATTCTCCAACTAAATGATCATAATAATAACGAGCCATTGAAGGCAACTCTCGAGAGCGGTATGAGTTGCACCGCCATACGGTACGAAACAGTATCACTATGTTGTGATACTGTTCATACCCTAGCAGATACAACGTGGCAGAAAAGAAGGGCGATCAGTTCTTCACCGCATTCCCGAATAACAAAGGAATGCTCTCCACAGAACCGTTATGCAAATCACCTTGGTCAATCAAGAGAGTTCATCAATAATTCTTGAGAGGCGTGATGACAATAATAGTGAAAAAAGATCGACACCATTTTACTATCCACTGTTGAGGGTGACAATATGACAACTGTATAGGAAAAACTGTTAGTAATGGTATATCCTTACTCCCATGATCTGTCCAACTTTGACGTGGGCAGCCGCTTTATCCATCGTTGGATACCACACCTCGACGAAAAATGCCGCGGCGATGTTATTAAAAGGCAGTATAACCGCATAGGCCAGGACGCAGCTCAGACATACCAACCAGAAGTCTACCGATAGTGACAATGACGATTGGAGACTGAGAAAAAAGGAAGAACTTCAACACAGTGATGATAATATTTCGCCATAAGTAGCCGTTATAACTGCGCATTTCTCAATACAAAAACCGAACGATCGCGTTAAGAACTGACAGTACATTTTTTTCGAATAACAAAGTTAAGGTATGTGAGAGTTCCAAGCCACCATTAGCATTACTTCTCTATGAAGCCCTGACTGGGAACTTCCTCACTAGTGATATCATCATCGATGTGCTTCGTGAAATAACACAGCACCAACGTTAAAATAACCGTACCTGAAAAAAGTCCACCGATGGTGACACCATAACTACGAGAACAGCTTACTTGTCACCGCTATGAGCCCCGCTATGAACGCTCCCGTTACCTAGGAAACATAATGTAGAAATATATGTTTGGTTCCCTCAACTGAACTCGTAAGTTTCCTCACTACATTATGGAGTGTGCAAAGACCACCGATAACTCCTCAAATTTTGAGGAGTTATAATTATGAAAAGTAATGTAAAATTATGGAAATTTTGCTCAAAATTTTCATAATTTCCCATGTAGTTAACCACGTGCATATATTATCAAACCATGGACAGCGATAAGTTCATCTCAAACACTTACTCCATATCGTGCCTCTACCCCAGGTGACAGCAAATCGTTGAGAACCGAGCCAAATCGGGCAACTGAGAGATTGAGTCCTAATGCAAAGGCGATCTCCTGCCCTCGGAACCAGCCTGCTAGAAGAGTTGTCTGTGCCACCTGAAGATAAAGGTATAAGAGGAAGGTCACCGAGAGTTCCCCTTACATTCATGCTCTCCCCGCCTAGTCCGTAGATTACCCTTCCTAGCAGCATAGTCCTCATAGAAAAATAATACGACCCGACACATTGTAGCGCTTGCCCGAGCAATAACAGTACCGCCAGTAGGAGGAGCATGGACCTGAGCAGAGCTTCTTGACATGCTAAAAGGCCTACAGGGATAAACTGCATTTTTAATGGGAGCCTTCGGAATCTTACTACTACATGAGACATTGAAAAAGTTTAGGTTTTTGCATGGACTTTGAAGAACTATTCCACACAGCTACTTTAATATTCATTGATCACCTCTGAAATGTTGTACAAGTTTCACAAAATTCACTCAAGTGCCGAAGCACATCATCACATCATAACAGCATATCAAACGCTCGTTACCTCATACCAATCCACTCTATAGAGACTCCCAGTATTAATGGCGTTACCATATTGGGCAGGGCATAGACGGTATATAAGAGATTGAAGTAGTAGGTATATTCCTCGACAGTCATACCGCTCCCTCCACCTAAAGTAGCTGATGCGGTCACTTCTGACAACAACCTACCGGTGAATCGAGCCTGCAGTTGATCGTTTATCGCGGAGGGAATATCATAGGCGTAGTACTGGCCAGAGAGCGCTAGACAGGCCACGATGAGAACAGCCCATCTTAGTTTTTCAGGAGGGTCGGGAGTAGACATAATAAAATCATAGCTACGGAACAGGAATTCAGCCGAGTTTGAGAAATTACTTTCCCCAGGATTTGATAACAACAGGAAAAATGTTTATAATGTGATGATGTTGAACTGATTGAAGAATGTGTTCCTAGCCGTGTAGGAAATTAATAATGAGTTTCACTCGGGAACATCAGAGGTTTCTGGAAGAATCATTGATATAAAAGCGATCTGGACACAGCAACGAGCAGTGGTTGACTTTTCACCCGAAACCCTCAACACAGTCCCTTCGTAAAAATCATACAGGCAAAATTTCACGAAAAAATGCAATTTCTCGGGTAAAAAAGCCGCGAGAAAAACCGTCAGTGATGATTGACGATCCGATTACACCAAAAATGCTGATATTTTTACGGAAAACTTTTTCCGTAAAAGCTCAGGCCAGCCCAGGCGTCTCGCACTGATTCATCCCTTCCCATAATAACACAATTCCTCTACTATGGACCAATACGAGTCTTAGCTGTAAAGGGCTACCACCAGAAGCAGAGCCAACAGTAACAGTAAGAAAATGGTCAACCATAGGAGAGATGTAGACTAAACGCATGAAGTGAGGCTAGGGACGGCTCAACAGCTACTCAATGTGAGAGGGAGTCTTGTTGAATCTTGCTGAGGCAATAATCGATAAAATCAAAATAATGCTGTTCACCCATTTTACGCGAAGGGACGTAAAACTAGGTGTAAAACGCGATATTCGCGCTATGCAGCAGTCGTGAGATATGTTTTTCATCAGTGTTTTTCATATCACTAGGGGAAACTCCAACACATTCACAAGTAGAAAGGAACAACAACTGCACAAAACGTCATAAACCACACCAAGTTCGGTTCCGTCAAATTGGTATTACGGTCGAACCCTCTAGAATTTCCCCCACATCCATGTCGTCGTTGGCTCACTCTGCGCCGATAATTTAGCGCGCGCCCGACCGAAAAAATCTCAGAAATACGGCTCAGTTACAAAATAGCAAAGGAGCAAATAGCAAAAAAGTGCCAGTTAGCTGGAATGTATATTCCCTGCGGCTTTTGCTGTTGTGCTAGTGTGTAAAAACGCTATGGCTGATATACAGAAGAGTAAAGTAGTAAAATTCACTTTACAAATACGCAAATTTGCCGTTTTGTATAACAGAAACTGCTCGAATGAATATCGTTTGCTTGTTTATATTTCAGAAAGTTGCTACAATGTATAAAAGTTGCCGCTATGTGAAGTTCTACTATGTAACAAAATTTAGCAGTTTTGCTCAAAAAAGTGGCAAACCAATAAATTGCTCCTTCTACTATTGACCAAATTGCTACTTTTCAGAGGAGCAATTTACCGCTTAACGAATGGGCAACCCCGCAATGGAGCAAATTTTCGCTGTTCTACAATCGGAAGAAGGAATTGAAATTTCGCACGCGAGAGTCGAACTTTGGTGGGTTGTTGGTGATTGTGTTGAGCATTGCATTATAGTTTCGAAGTCTCTGAGTGGTGACTATTTTGCAAAGTTCTTTGGTTCTGTCGATATAGATAAGTATAGTTGCAGCACTGGGAGAATGATGGATGGACTATTGTAAGTGGTAGTAGGTCGTTACTAAAGACTTACATTCGTTAAGGGTTCGTTGGATTTTCATATTTTCCCCATCATTGCAGTTCGCACATGGTCACAGAAGGACGAGGGAGAGGATTTGTGTTTACGTGGTAGCTCGTATTGGGCGGAATCACTCGTACTGAGTGATCCGAGATCACTTATTTGGATCAACATGGATCACTCATCTGCAGTGCAGTGCTGTATTGCAGGCACCCCAGTGGTGCCCATGCGAGATGTCGTGGCTTTCATACACGCATCCTGATTCCTACGTGGCCTATTGCATGCGAACCAATATGCTCTTCTGTAGTCTGAGCAAATACTGGTCATTGCAGAAAGATGCCCCTCGCGAAAATCGAAATTGTCGGGGAAAGAGGCAGGCTGGCTTAGCAGTGCTAAGTTAGCACTCTGCATCTACCCGGCGCTGAACAAGTTCTCCCGAGATACCAGATGTGAGGAGATAGTGCGAAAGTACTCGCCTAACAACAATGCTATTTTATTGGTGGAGGAGTATGAGAGCCACGCGGCAAAAGAATTGCAGCAGAAGCGGTCGAAAGAGGACGAGCGTGAGGAATCGAAGTAGTTTCTCCCATCACTGGAGACTAGCGACCATGTACGCACTCGCAGTAAGGTAGGCACCTCAGTGGTGCTCAGCTGTTGTAGCTGCTACAAGTAGCTGTCTCGGTGATTGGTAGAGAAAAATTGGACGTTTCTCAATATGCTTTTCTTGTAGCCCTTAATAGTATCTCTATGAAGGCCCTCTAGTGGTGCCCGGGAGCGAATATTGTGTGCGGGGGGCTGTAGAGTTCATAATCAGTAATTTAGTCCGTGTTGCGTTTCCCCTGTACAATCCTTCGACACCTCTGCAAAGTCTATAACAATAGCTCCACGAAGACGCTCCGATGAGTGCCACTGCCCATGAGCAAATGTTTATCGTGCAGAATGTCAAAGTTGCCCGTAATACTTACGTAATGCCTACTTGAGGGTTTAACTTGTGGGTATTGTTGAGTCGTCAATACGTACAATCGTACCAAACCATGAGACACAACTGATACGATGCACAAAGAGATAGGATACTCGAAGATGGGGACTCAATTTAACTGTTATCTCATCTGATTCAATCGCGACGTGCAAGAGCAATCATGTGTTTTGTATTCAGCATTGATCATAACTCGCGCTGTCTTCGGAGTGAATGATATATCTCACTAGAGTGCTATCACGCTTTGACCCGATACTAAGTGACTCACTTGGAGTGAGACACAAAGTGTGACACCTTTGATAGATAAGATACTTAGTGAGTGCACAGGGCATGAACATGTTCTGGAGCATAAGATATAAGGCGTAATACCGTAATCGAACGAGAGCGCTATCCCATAACTATGTTTGCTCGATTGTATATTGCTCGTACGAATAATGCAAAATGACAAGTTTGCTAATAACGCTAACAGAGACGCAGTTTGAGCGAATGAGCAAAACGCTAGTATATATTCCCGCAGGGCGTAAGTTACAAGAGAGCAAATAGCCGAAACATAAAAGTAGCGCAGCGTTGTCACATACCGGCAACTGCCAAGTTGTATATTTCATGCAGGAACATAGCATAAGGGCAAACCTTGAAAAATGCCAGACTATAGAATTACAACGCAAAACATATCAAACAGCAAATGAGCACAACTTGCCAGAATAACGAAAACGTGCGGGCGAAGCACACTTGGGCAAAAGTGCCAGCGTGTAAAACATTCCGGGAAAATATACAATGCAGCAAAAAAAGAGCAAAAAAGAGCGACTTGCTGGAAAACACTTTTGGATTTGCTACTTTCAACATTGGGTTGCTAAAACCTATACCAGAAATTGCTAGGTTGTAAATGTGGTTGCTACTTTGTAACTGAGAAAGCAGCACATACAAAAGAGCAAAAAAGTGAGACTGTCAGAAATTATAGCATTCGGCAAATCCGCAATATTAGCAAAAAGTTGCGATTGCCGGATTGTATTACACCGCAGAAATACTCAAGCCTACCTTGCATCTGTCGTATTAATGGGCGATACGCTTCTGACGTATTACGCTCCGGCAGTGAGAATTATGTGCATTTTTTACTTATATTTCTTATAGAATATAAGAACACTGACGTACTAAACTATACAAACCATGTGTTGTTCTATTTTCACTTCAAGCAGTCAGACTGACAGATCCCGCGGGAAAACAGACAATAGAATGGTAGGCGGTGTTTGTACACTACACAGTGAAGGGTACTTTCAGAACCCGAAAAGTATGCTTAGGCGTCTTCGACCCGCTGGTGTCCAGGGTTCGCAACGCAACAGGCTGGGAACTCTACACATTTTCAATCTCAAATTCAGCGAATGAAAGAACAAATTGAATAGTGAAAGTTGATTTCCATAGAGTGGCAGGGGTTTTCAGCGGCTGAAAACTCATGTACTTCATGGGAATCAAATGTGATTGAAAAAGTGTATAAAACAATCAATATCGACGATCGAGGAATTATGTATTCTCCGATATGTAAATCTTATAAATTTTTCACTCATGGAGTTTCTCGAGAGAGGTATAACCAGGTAAAAGATATCATGATTGAACCTAATACCCGGGTGAACGACCGTATTTCCCAACCGTGAATCATCAATCACATGGACCACAAGCCCACTAAAGTCCCGAATACGTTGAACTGATATACGCCTACTGTATTCACATAACTATAGAACTTCATCAACACAACTGCTGCATATGTGAAAACTTGAAAGTGTCTTATCATCAATCTATGAAAGGCAGGAACGATAACATAGTCGCATTTCTAGCGACTACGAACAATGACGTTTAATATTTTGGGAAGATCACGATCTTTACATAGTACTTGCGCATGAGCGACAATGAGATCGGTCTATCGTACGTAACAGACAACAACAATTGCTTCGAATCGGTAACATCACCGATTGAAGGGTATTAACAGGAGATAAATGATGAAGATTTACAGTATAGGTAGCCATCAAACATTAATAACAGAAGAGCTTATACAGCCGAATAGCATTAGCTTGTTATTGGATAGCAGTAGGTAGATATTTCTTTATAATACTTAGGCGAATTCATCACCAAACGCCTTGATGAACGAACTTGTTTAACTACTTACCAGAAACCAAGCAACCACCAATAGCCCCAGCACACCGTGTTCATAACAATAAGATTCACAACCATCACGATGACACCCTGGAACCACCAAAGCCTCAACGGGACGTATCCCAAGTTGAAGAAAGGTGGATTGGTAGAGCTGGTATAGTGAGTTAAATGCCCAGATAGAGTTGTATACGCAAGCGCTCTGCAACCAAGCTCCATCGGAACACCAGCGGCCTGCATGATCTGCAGGAACACTGGGAACATGGCAGAGACATGTGCAGTAATACTTGCAAACAGATACTGGGACACGTAGAAGATAGCCGTGCAAATCCATACACTACCGTAAGCCGCCACACTTGACAAGTCGATCTTTTCGGCGAACCACTCGAAGAAGCCAGTTTCCTTCAACTCAGTGGCCAACATCAGCAACACACCGAACCAAAGGAACAAATCCCAAGCTCCACTGTTATTCACAATATCCCTCTTCACATCAAGAATGCCAGTCATCAGCAAGACACTCAGACCGAGCATAGCCACACCAGTAGTCGTATAAGGTACAAAGTCAACCGAGGAAGAGACGATCCAGAGGATAATGATCAATGCAAACACACCAAGCATGACACACTCGAAAACACTGACGCCTCCCATCTCTGCCAACTTATCATTAGCCAACGTTTTAGCCTGAGGGGTCTTCTTGATTTGAGGAGGGAAGAGGAAGAACAGGATAATAGGTGCATAGATCAACGGCAAGAGACCAACAGGTGCCATGCTATACGCCCACTGCCCCCAATTAATCTTCACACCGACAGCTTCCATGAAGTTAGCCATCATAGCATTCCAAGCACCACCAGTCAACCAGCATACAGATGAGGTTGTATTTGCAACAATCTCAACCATTATCATGTACGTGCCGATGGACTTCTCAGTACCTAGAGCCGGGTCGGATTGGAAGCCTTCCTTCAGCAAAGGCTCCAAAATTGGTAGCAAAATACCCGCACCTCTAGCAGTGGACGAGGGAATTGCCGTGGCCAATATGAACTCGCAGATACAGAAAGCATAAGCAAGTCCAAGAGTGGTAGAGCCGATATACTTTAAAATAATAAAACATAACCGCTTGCCTAAGCCGGTAGTAACGAAACCGCTTGCAATGAAGCATGCAAAGACAATTAGCCATACGGTATCGTTACCAAAACCGGATAGAATCTGCGCAGTCGTCAGAATATTAGTTAATGTACAGAAACCCAATGACACCAAGCAAATACCAGACATGGGAATAGGCTCCGTAACAGCGCCAATAATAGTGACCAAGAAGGTGACGAACACTTGCCATGTATGTGGACTCAGGTCATTTGGATGAACCCACCACAGAGCCAAGACGATGATAATCAACAAGAGTAATATAGGGATGTTGATACCAGGCCAACTCTTCCTTTGCCAGTCGAGGAACTTCCTGATAACGCTTCCTCCTGGGACCTTGTCCCACTTCGAGGGCGCTACCTTCTCTTCGACTACAACCGAATCACTTTCAGTTATAGGAAGCCCTGGTTGACCAACAGCCTGCGCAGTCTTGACGGACATCTTTACAATGAGCTTTCGGCAATTAAAATCTGAGTGGAAGAAAATGCAAAAGCACCAATGACCGATCCCCACACAGCTCCATAAACAATAAAAGATACTCAAACAAACACACTGATAGTCGTACGATTAATACCACCAGTGAAGACTCTCACTATATACACAAGTTGTGGTACGTTATAAGAATTACGATGATTGAATGCTGGATCTAGCGGACGGTATCTTGGCGCTAGCATAGCGTCAACACAAATATTTTACAAGATTCTGTCCCCCACTGCAGGGCTCATCCCGCCTTAGCTATCTTAACAGCCTACACCACAGTATCCGTTAGTTCCCTCAAAACTATCGATACTTATCCTCTTCTTTTCGTTGTACTAAGCCCTCTTTCAACGGTCTTCCAGTAGATTCCTCAGAGCGCATACATTTCTTCGTGGTTCCTCATGCTTGTGATACCAACTATTTGACGACTTATAAATGCAGAGATATTGGTATCAATTTTTTGCACGAGAATCAGTTTAAGGTAGTACACAAGAGTTTCTTGCGTAAGCAGCACAAATCTGACAGCAACACAATCTACCTCGACGACAGTTTGTGTTAGGAATTAGCACACGTTGTTGAACTGTGAAGATCATAGTTGATGGCTAGAGTTACGAGTGGTCACAACCGTGCTGTTGATGACTCTAGCACTGACAACAACCGAGCACATCAATCAGAGCAAAGCTCCAAATTGTTCACATTCCAAACCTCTGCTACATAGGGACTCTAGACTCTTCCAGACTCGCCACGAGGGCCAAACCGATACCCTAGTCAATTTCACCTAAACAATGAGACCACACAAAAGCGAGCAGAATCGACCACCATCGACACAGCCCTACCTTCTTACTACTGTGTTCAGTACAATTTCGTAGAAAGGACGACGTCAACCTCCCAGTGTAATCTCATTCAAACCACACAAGCCGAGATAACGAACATTGCGATACTCCTAACCGGAATACAACCTCACTGATCTACTATTACAAACCAATTCCTAGACCAATAACCGACCCGTCGATGCACTGATGAACTCAAAACCACAAAGTGTGAGATCAATTCCTAGAGGAAGATTCATTGTTTTAAACAAACTATCAATGAGCCTCAGGTTGCCAGCCACTCGACTGGCTTTATAGTAGAATACGCTGGGACACTTCACACCTATCCCAGGGGCAACTAGAGCGCCCAATTGTATGCCCGGTTGTACCGTGTACTTCGGGAAAAGAAAAGTAACAACCTGCTTTCTACCCGAAAGCAGTAGAGACGTTATAGTAGGAATATAATCACAATACCTATGTTATAGTCAGTGACGCGGTAGCAGCAAAGTAACACTACAACTACAGGATCGTCATAACCACAAAGCGAACAACAAG